TATTTTTATACCAATAAATTCTCTGATTCTATTGACAAGAGAAATACTATGGATCGAAGTGAAAAGTAAATGTCATGTTCCTTCTCAGTCTTATCTTCCAGAAATAACTACCAATAATGCTTTCTTATGTATTCTTCTACAGATTTTCTTTTCTTTTTCTTTCTTTCTTTTTTCCTTTTTCTTTTTTCTTTTTTTTTTTTTTTTGAGATGGAGTCTTGCTCTGTGGCCAGGCTGGAGTGCAGTGGCAGGATCTCGGCTCACTGCAACCCCCACCTCCGGGTTCAAGTAATTCTCCTGCCTCAGCCTCCCGAGTAGCTGGGATTACAGGTGCCCGCTACCACGCCCGGCTAAGTTTTTTGTATTTTTAGTAGAGATGGCGTTTCATGGTGTTAGCCAGGATGGTCTCGATCTCCTGACCTCGTGATCCGCCTGCCTCGGCCTCCCAAAGTGCTGGGATTACAGGCGTGAGCCACCGCGCCTGGCCTCTTCCACAGATTTCCTATGCATGTACTAGGAGATACATACACGCCCATCCATACGCAAACATAGACACACATGTGATCATATTATTTACATTTTTTCAACTTTTTCATTTTTAAATGAAAATGCTTTTTTCATTTAAAATGTCTGGAACATTTACCATATAATTTTCCCCTTTATTCTTCCTCTAGCATCAGACATCCGTAGAGAGTTCCATCATGTGGTTGTACATTCGTTTCTCAAACAATCTCATATTGCAGGATATTAAAGTTGTGCGGCAGATGCAGCAAGTTGTCATTTCTACTTCTTTCTGATGAGGAGAACTCCGACAGTGTTCAAGATAGTAATAGTCTCAACTAAACCTATGAGTGTCCCCAGGATCCCATGTAGGTAGGGGTGGCACGTGACACTGTCTGCGCTCAATGGAATTACAGTATTCCATTGTTGCTGGTGAAGGGTGTCCAGGTTCTTGGCATCTTGAACAAAGAATTGGACAAAACACACAAACAAAGCAAGGAAAGAATGAAGTAACAAAAGCAGAGATTTATTGAAAATGGAAGTATACTCCACAGGGTGGGTGCTGGTCGAGCATAGGGGCTCAAAAGCCTGGTTACAGAATTGTCTGGGGTTAAAATACCCTCTAGAGATTTCCCACTGGTTACTTGGTGTACACCCTATGTAAATGAAGTAAAGTTACAAAAGTTATAGTCCTGTGCTTTCTGCAACCAATCAGAAATACGTTCAATTTTCCATCTGCCAGGCAGAAAAAGTGGGTGGAGGGTTTACAAAGGGAGTAGCCTTCTGCACTTTTGTTTCTTAGTTGTGGAAAGTTGGGGTTTTCCTTCTGACTTAGTCCCAAATCGATCTTAGGTTCCCTGCTTCCAGATCCTATTCTCCTGCCTCACCATTGTATGGGCACATCATAATTTAGTCAGTTAGGGAAAGCAGACTAAGTTTGAACATGGAGGTTGTTTTTAAATGGTTGCTATTATCAAATAAGCTTCAATCATAGTTCATCTGCTTGATTCTTTCCTTAGATAAAATAATCGAGTTTGTGTGGTGGAATTTTGAGCAGAGGCTGGTGGGCAGGGAAGGTGTTTTGGGGTGGGGAGCTGCCATCTTTTTAGTCTGTGTGTTCTGCGGGCTTATCCTCCAGGATTTTGTTGGAAATACATGTTGACTCAGTGGTACATCATGCATTGCCAGTGCAATTTTTGCGGTTTATCGTACCTTCATTTTCTTGATGGCCTCTCCTTAGTCCCTTCCTTGCCTTCCTGCTTCTGGCATCTGTGGCCAGAGGTCAGCTTCCAGTCAGTGTCTATGAGAGTCTGGATGTTACTGCCATTTGCATTCTGCCTGGCTCTGCTCTGATGATTTCAGCATGACCGGGTTGAAAGAGAAGAATGAGGAAAGTCAGTCCCTCTCGTGGGGAGGAAGTTCATCCAGGCTGCAGACAAATTTATTCTCTTGCATCTTGATATCCAAGGTGAAAGAAATTGAGGTTACACATCACAGGTAGACAGAAAGCAGAATTCTAAAATATTCCTAGCCAATTTCACTTTGTTGAAAATATGTTGCAGCGTAGATATGGACAGCAGTGATAATCAAAATACCTAATAATCAGAAGATGTGGATACCACTTATCAGAATGGACGCTGGCATTAAATAACCAGCATGGCTGTACTGGTGTGAACCAACTGAATATCAGTGGTGGTGCAGCAAAATAGGATTTTCCTTCCTTTTATCCTCAGGAACTAAATTATGAAATCCTTGCCAGCTGGACTTCATCTCAGCAGTTTATTATCTCTCCCAACCAGTTTGCGAAAACTCATCTTCCTAAATTCCCCCTTAAAAGAGTATCTCTTTGATTAAATTATCAATGGATATTTATTTTTTAAAGGTCCACAATTAACATGGATGTATTGGTCAGAACTCTTTGGGTTGTAAGTGGCACAGCCCAATTAAGGCTATATTAAACACAATGGGAGGTTTTTAGTTTCTATTACTGGGAAGCCCAGGATGGAAGACTTCAGGCATGTTTGGATTCAAGCTCAAAGGTATAGTTAAGACTCCTTAATAATTATCTTCGTCCCTCTTTATACGCTAGTGGCATTCTCTTCATCGGCAGATCGTGTTCTTCCAATTTGGTGGATAGAGCCATACTCATAGACAAGCAACTTTTGCACTCACCAAGGTTCTGGCACCGAGAAAGGCCCTGAGCACAGACACTTGAGCAAGCCCAGCTCCTACTCCCGGAGCCAGACTCCAATCAGCAGAACCTTCCAGCTGACTTACAAGCAAAAATCAATCTCTATAAATAAATAAAAATAAAAATAAATGTTCCAGAGAAAAAAGACTTCACCGCTGAGAAATGCTAGGGCAAGCAAAGTTAAGTAGGCTTTCTTTAGCGTTTGACTTTCTAGGCTTTAATGCACCCTTCTGCAATGTGAAACATTAAGGAGAGGATATTGAGTACAGCATTTCAGAAATGTATTTGATCCAGCCAGGCGCGGTGGCTCACGCCTGTAATCCCAGCACTTTGGGAGGCCGAGGCGGGCTGATTACCTGAGGTCGGGAGTTCGAGACCAGCCTGACTAACATGGAGAAACCACGTCTCTACTAAAAATACAAAATTAGCTGGGCGTGGTGGCACATGCCTGTAATCTCAGCTACTCAGGGGGCTGAGGCAGGAGAATCGCTTGAACCTGGGAGGCAGAGGTTGCAGTGAGCTGACATCGTGCCATTACACTCTAGCCTTGGCAACAACAGCGAAACTCTGTCTCAAGAAAGAAAAAAAAAAGAAATAAATTTATTTGATCCTAGAATGTTTTCACCAAGCATGATGTTTTTGGGAATACCATTAGTAAATACTATACACTTCTATTTATGGAATTAGAGTTAGATCTCAGAGTCATGAGATTGTATAAACAAATTCATGTTCACAATACTAGCCAGGAGGTAAATACTGTACTGTCTTTCAGAAGAAGGATTAAACTGAAGGAGTAGTGAATAGAAAGACCTTTATCTAAGTCCGATATAAACTTTGCCAACTTTGTCATCTGGGAACAGATACTCAACTCCTTAGCATTCTTGAAGCCTCTGTCTAGGAACTGAATCATTCATTTCCATAATTTCAGAGCTAGAAGAGATCAAGAGGTCATCTGGCCCAATTCCCCTTTTCAACATATGAGGAAATCAAACCAGGGAGATTAGGTACCTTTCCCAGAGCAGGGCTAAGACTTGCTAACATCATCCATTGCTCTTTTCACTATATTAAAATTTCTTCTCTTTCCTGGAAAATGTTCAATATTCTAGCTGCCTCTAATGCCTGTTTGAGCAAATAGTTAGGGGGGCGAAAGTCCAATGTCCTACTCAGAACCATTTTGGAATAATCCTCTTAAATTCAACTGGATATCTGCTTCCTTTGAAATTCTGATTAGTTGAGGGTGTTTGATTTTGATAACCCACCAGGGAGGAAATTATGCTCTGAGGTCCAGCAGCTGCCAAAAGCAAGCTGTCAGCTTAATACCAGCTCTCTTTCTCTCCATTTTATCAGCAAAACAGCTGTGAACAAAGGCATGGAGGGCAGAACTGGGCGAGGAAACACAACGCCACCGAAAGCTGGCATGAGCTCTGTTGCTGGGAGGGTCATGAAATTTTATGATGTTTCTTAATTAGAGTTAAATATAAACATCAAATAAAACCAAATACCCGTGATGTGTGACAATAAGTCATAGATATGGGTTATCAAAGACAAAGCGTTCCTTTGTACCCTTAAAACATCGTTGTTCACTACTCATTTTATACCTATTATGCCATTGAAATGTGATCTGAAAGGGTCTGGTTGAGTTCATAAAATGGAATAATTATTCTCTCATCTCTCTCTCATTGCTCACCCTTATCCTCACACATAAGCCACAGGTAACTCAGTAAATGCTAAGAATGGCATTGGGGTGATACAGTATTCAAATTGACAACAAGGCTCACTACTTATACGTTTTCCACTTACTTATGAGTCACATTGTTTAAGCACCAACTATGCCCCAGGTACTGTGCTGGACTAGAAGGATTTGACATTGAGCAGCAACAAGCCTGGATGGTCCTTGCTGTCAGGAAGCTAGGAGTCTTGTGTGGGAGACAGACAGTAAGAAAAAAGTTCACAAAAAATACATAAAATTACCAACTGTGATAGATGCTTTGAAAAGAAGGTACATGGTGCTGTGACTGTATAACATGACAATGTGACCTAGACCAGTGCATCTCTAACTCTGTGTGCTGAAGGACCACTTTTCCCTTCAATCTGCCTGGACTGATACTAGCATACAAATTGTGCTACATATGACTGACCGTGTGAGTTTGACAACACCTGAACTGCTCTTTGCCCTGTTCAACAAGGCAAGTCTACTGAACATGTGTTTGGATGTCATGGTAATATTAAAACACTGTAGAACTTTCTAAATGCTTATTTCTCAATTTTAACATTTATCACATTGGAAACAATTTGTAGATTGGCACCGAAGTATGGACTGCACTTCGAGTAGCTCCAACCTAGACTGTCGAATCAAGAACGTCGTCCTGGAGGAAATGATTTTTGCTTAGTGTTCTGTGATGAATCTATGATCACTATGACCATCATAGATCACCGTAATCTATATTAAAGAGCAAATAGGCGAAATCGAGATGGGAAGGAGAATTCCAGGTAAAGAGAATCCAGGAGAAGAGGAGTGTGGCTGGAACACGCAGGTGAGTGGAAGATTAGTCAAGATGAGTTTGAAGGGAAATGCCAGGCCAGGCCTATGTTATCTTTGTGTTTTCTCCATGAAAAAGGACAGGTTTTGGAAGGTTTTAAACAGTGTGATTTTATCAGATTCGAGGTGCTAAGATCACTTTGCTGCAGTATGGACAATACACTAGAAGGTGTGTCAGTCTGTTTAGGCAGTTATAATAAAATACCACAGACTGTATGGCTTATAAACAACAGACATTTATTTCTTACAGTTCTGGAGGCTGTGAAGTCCAAGATCAAGGCACTGGCAAATTCGGTGTCCGATGAGGGCTGGCTTTATGGTTCACAGATGTGGCCTTCTCGCTGCAACCTCAGGGCTCTCTTTGGGGCCTCTTTTATAAAGGCACTAATCCCAATCATGAGGGTGCCACTCTCATGACCTCGTCACCTCCCAAAGGCCCCACCTCCTAATACTATCACCTTAAGGGTTAGAATTTCAACATATGAATTTTTGTGGGACACAAATATTCAGACCATAGCAGGAGAATAAAAGTGAAAGTAGGGAAACCAACGAGTAGACTATTGCAGTAGTCCAGGTAACTTGAGCCAAAGGGACAGTGGATGTGTAAGAAGTGGGAGATTGAGGTTGGGTGCAGTGGCTCATGCCTGTAATCCCAGCACTTTGGGATGTGAAGGCGGGTGGGTTGCTTGAGCCCAGGAGTTAGAGACCAGCCTGGGCAACATGGAGAAACCCTGTGTCTACAACAAATACAAAAATTAGCCAGGCGTGATAGTGCCTCCCTGTGGTCCCAGATAGTTGGGAGGCTGGGGTGGGAGGATTGCTGGAGCCCAGGAAGTCAAGGCTGCAATGGGCCGAGGTCGCAGCACAGGAAGTGGGAGATTGAGACTGAGGATGTAGGGTAAGATTTCTGGTGGAGTGGATACAGGGTTGAAGAAGTGGGAAAGATCAAAGAGGACTCTTCTGGTAGCTAATCATCCCAATATTCCACGCTAATGCAGACAAGGAATATTGCTCCCTTTCTGTTCAGGACCAAAGGAGTCCCTTTACTCCTAAGGAAGTTTCCTGGCAGGGAATGGAATTCCATTTCCCAAGTCCTTCAGAGGCTCTGCCAATACTTGTAGATGTGCTTCACAACTGCCATTCTTTCTCCAATTAACGTTCCATTTATGGAACTAAGTGACTTCCCCTTTGAATATACATTCTCCTCTATAGTGTTTCCTCAGTTTTTTTCTTTGAAACCTTATTCTAGAAAATATTAATAGGCACTCAATGAAAAAGGAGTCTCATCAAAGAACATATTCAGGAAATACTGAGCTAAACAAGAGTCACACTGCTTTTTCTTTCAGTACATGACTTTTCAGAGCACTTAATATGTGAATGTGCATCTTCAGTTTCTGAGAGGGGAGAAACAAAATACAGCGTTTCCAAAACTTACTTAGTTATGGGTTCCTTTTTGCCAAGATCATCTACCAGGCTAGCATTCTATGAAACCTTCTTTGGGAAAGGATGGTGCCTGGTGACTAAAGCAGTCCTTTGTTCAGCACTGGAAGCTTGGTTCTGCTTCACATATTGAGTTCACTGGTTTATGACAGGACAATCTAGTTCCATTCCCTAAGGCACTTTTACTGAAAGGCTGAGTCAGTTTTTTGCAATCAGCAACGACACTCCCTATACCTGACTGAGCTTGCAATTCTAGCTCTGTGATGAGAATCGCTGTTCTAGCTCTAAGTGTTGGCCTGGGGGCAGCATCCTATGTCTGTCTGGGGGCAATGTGCCACACTCAGGCAATACATGGGAAAGGAGGACTGGAGTACTGCCTTGATGGACTTGAGTGACGTTGGTGTAACAGCCGTCCATTTTCCATTTTAGCTGACTGGGAAACAGCAGCAGTTATAAATGACAGCTATGTCTACAGAGGCTGACCTTTTCTTCATCCTCCCTTCTCTCTGGCTTTTGAGGGTAACCAGGGGAGCAGCAAAGACCAGCGTTTTCTTTACCCGGTAAATGGGTGTCATCATCAGCAGGTGTTACAGATCCGTGCCTCTCTGACTTGAAGGTGCACGGGAATTCCCTGGGGATCATGGTAAATGCAGATTTCTGGGCCTTACTTCTAGAAATCCTTATTTGGCAGATCTGGAATGAGACATTGTCATCTGTAGTTATTTTTATCTTTATGCCTTTACTCCTATATACTTGAGTTCATTTCCTAAAAATAAGAACTATTTTCTTACATAATCACAGTACAATGATCAAAATTGGTAAATGAACCTTGTTATGACAGTGTTATCTAAATCTACAGATCTTATTCTAATCTCTCTAATTGTCCCAATCATTTACTTTCTAGCAAACCCTCCCTGAAAAAAAAAGCTCTGACTCAGGCCGAAGGGACCAGATGTTCCATGTTATTAAATTAGCCCAGGCCTAAGACAGTAGGAAGCAATGGAATATGGTAGAAATGGTAGCTAACTTGGGTGAATCCCCTGCCTAAAGACATTTACTCTGAAATTTCTTAAACACAATACCAGCCTATGTTGTGGTCTCGCATGCACCCCACCTTCAGCTTGTCTGCGCCTTGCCCATACCTGCTACTATATCTTTGCAGTTTTTTTTTTTTTTTTTTTTGAGATGGAGTCTCACTCTGTACCCAGGCTGGAGTGCAGTGGCCAGATCTCAGCTCACTACAAGCTCCGCCTCCCGGGTTTACGCCAGTCTCCTGCCTCAGCCTCCCAAGTAGCTGGGACTACAGGCGCCCACTACCTCGCCCGGCTAGTTTTTTGTATTTTTTAGTAGAGATGGGGTTTCACCGTGTTAGCCAGGATGGTCTCGATCTCCTGACCTCGTGATCCACCCGCCTTGGCCTCCCAAAGTGCTGGGATTACAGGCTTGAACCACCGTGCCTGGCCTATATCTTTGCAGTTTGAGGCTTCCCGAGCTACGTGATTTCCCTGTCCACAACTCTCTCACTCCCCTAACAGAATATCGCCCTGTGCCAGGCATCACAACCATTATGCCTACGAGTCAGTTATGCCCATGAGGCAATCTTTGATCCATTCAGACAAATGGATAAATGCTAGTTAGAAATGCCAGGTGGGCTTGTGAGTTTTTAAGCTTGTTAAACACAGGACACTGGAATGCGGTTGAAGTGGTTTGTGTCAAGAAACACTCCGTTAAAACTAAGGAGGTGGTTCTGGTAGCTGGTGGGAATCAGGTATCATCCCAGTCATTCCACGTTTCTGAGGAAAACAGCAGCCAATAGCAACACAATAAAATTTTGATTAGATGCAACTAGAAGAAATTGCCTTCCTTCAGAAAGGTATTCTCTTCCCTTGTGTTTTGAGGAAGTTGGCTATGCAGAAGACAAAAGCTTGACTTTTCTGCTTACTGGAACCTGGACCATTAAAGCCACGTTGCTAGCACTCCCATTGATTTGGTGATTTAACTCCGAGACAGTAACCTTATTTTTAATTTCTTGGAGGGCATCTCCCCCATGGCTTCCAAGTAACAGCTAAGGTTCCCAATTAATCAAAATAAAACTTCCTTGTCACCTTTGCTCCCTTTACCTGATATCATCTTAACACCAAGCAATGGTTCTGGAAAACAAAAGACATTTTGGTATTAATTGTGCGTGTGGCAGTGGAGGGTGGCTTCTAGAATGTATGCACATTTAGGAAAATGGTTTGATTATTTAAAACTGTGTTCCTTCTATGTGATGATTCCCAGGCATCGAATCAATGCCAGGGCACTAATTGTATTAGAACTTTATTGAAGAGACATCTAGTGGGGCTGAGTCAGAAAATTGTCACTGAATTCTGCATCACCGAGGCTGGAGGATTGAGTGCCAATAGGGACCTCTAGTGTTCTGCAAAGGTTCAGACTTGATAATGCGAAGATTCTTTACACGCCTTTTCCTATTTTCCATGTGTCAAACCGGAGTATGCTTTTGTTCAAAACTTGCCATTTTCTCTACGAAGTATAGAGGCATAGCCTATTCATAATTTCTGTCTAGGTATTTTTAAGTCGGTGAATTTAAATAAAGACAATGTTTTCTGTGGAGCACCAGGATACACTGTTTCCATAGGCCTGTAATACCAGATCTTATTTACTGTGCTTTCTGCAGATTGGCACCAGGCTCAGCACTGCACATAAGTTGCTTCTCTTTTTTTTTTTTTTTTTTTTTTGAAATGGAGTTTCGCTCTTGTTGCCCAGGCTGGAGTGTAATGATGCAATGTTGTCTCACTGCGATCTCTGCCTCCCGGGTTCAAGTGATTCTCTTGCCTCAACCTCCCTAATAGCTGGCATTACAGGTGAATGCCACCACGCCCAACTAATTTTTGTATTTTCAGTAGAGACAAGATTTCGCCACGTTGGCCAGGCTGGTCTTGAACTCCTGACCTCAGGTGATCCACCCGACTCAGCCTTCCAGAGTGCTGAGATTACAGGCATGAGCCACCGCACCCGGCCAGGTTGCTTCTTTTAACCATTATTAATTGTACTATTATTTTTCATTTTTCCAGTGAAGACACTGAGACAAATGAAGGTGAAGTTACCAAGTGTAGGTAATTCTTAATTGGTAGGGCCCGCCCTTGGTCTCATATCTCCCTTAATTCCAAAGCCTGTTTTCTGACCTGGCAAACTTTTAGCATAAATCTGAAGGGTAGACTAAAAGGTCACCCTTCTCCCTTCCCTGCTTCTCTCCCTTTTTTTCCTCCTTCTCTTTCTTCTTTCCTCCCTCCTTTTCCTTCTAGTTTGCTCCTAAAGGGAAACTTTTTCTTCCTTCCCGTCTTTTCTTTCTTCTCCCAAACTAGCAAATTTATCCATTTTCCATCAGAAGCTTGGTGACATTTTTAGAGGGAGAAGATTTTTTTTTGTTTTTTTGCCAGGGTTACACTCAGAATGGCATTTTGACAACTGTCAGGAATTGGCATGTTTTGTCTTGACATTGCTAAATAATCTCCCACATGAAATCAAAGCAGATATTTCATATGTCACTGCTGGGTAATAGCTTTTCTTGGGTTATATCCAATCCAGGGAATTGACATTGTTTTATTTCCCTGATGAAAACTGTTATTTGGCGCTTTCTAGCTCTTAAATTATTCTATCTTAGAATTTCTATCTGAGCCGAAGAGGTAAATCTGTTTTAAAGAGCAGGTACTTTTTGCTAAAACAGAGGCATTGAGGTGAAGTGAATCATTCATTAGAAGTTGAACATTTGGAAGTCTTTAAACTTAATACAGTGCCTGGAATCTCACAGCTTCCTCAATCGTGATTTTTTTTTTTTTTTTTTTTTTTTTTTTTGCTTTGTTTTGTTTCAGTTTTGAATGAAACCTAGGAGGAAGCTTTTTAGGCCTTTTGTTCAAAAACATACGATTAGGGCCGGGTGCAGTGGCTCACACCTGTAATCCTAGCACTTTGGGAGGCCAAAGTGGGTGGATCACAAGGTCAAGAGCTTGAGACCAGCCTGGCCAACATGATGAAACCCCGTTTCTACTAAAAACACAAAAATTAGCTGGGTGTGGTGATGTGTGCCTGTAATACCACTTACTCGGGAGGCTGAGGCAGGAGAATCACTTGAACCCAGGAGGCGGAGATTGCAGTGAGCTGAGATCGTGCCACTGCACTCAGCCTGGGTAACAGAGCGAGACTCTGTCTAAACAAAACAAAACCAAACAAACAAACAACAACAACAACAACAAACATACGATTAGGCCATATATGCGGAGGTTATGATTTGGGTGGTTGAGGTGACACTCCACACAGATCTTGATCTTACGGCATAAGCAACTCTTCTGTCTGCCTAGCAACTTTCTGTTGGAAATCCCAGCCTCTTGTGTCTGTGGAGTGGTCACACACATGGCCATTTTCCCAGACAACTGAGCATTTGAGCCAGATTGGACAATCATGCCTCATCCTCCCCAGTATAGTGATGTGTCCTGTAGTGGGCATCTAACCCAAGTAGAGGCACTCAGTGTCATTTCAGAGTCATTGATACGGGGCTGCACTGAAAGAGTCATTCTGAAGATTGCAGAATCAAAGAACCATTTTAACATGAAGCTGCAGAGATAATTTGCGCTGCCCAGTGTAGAAACTTTGTTTAGGGAGGAGGGAAGCAGAGCCTGAAGATGAAGGTAGAGCAAGTGTATCTTAAGGACATCAAATGATGTCCTGGATCCAGCCATACCTGAATTAGAAACCAACTTTTCAACTTTTCAGTTGTAAGAGCCAGGACATTCCCATTTGTGTTAAATTAGTTTGAGTTGAGTTTTTGTCACTTGAAATTGGAAGTGTCCTGACGAATACAACAACATATGTAGAAATTTCTGGTTGAACAAACAGGAAGTGAAGAAATAGGATTCATTCACCCTTGATATTGATCCTCTTCCAGGGAGGATCTCATGAAGGCCAGTAAATTGTCTCCTGGTATCAACTGTGCATGAATCAAGAATTCTTTTTGTTCCTGCTTTTCCGCCAATGTGAAATCCATATGAAGTAACTGAAAGTTGCCTAGTCAGTCTTTTGATTCTTCTCCATCACCTGCTGCAGGTCACTTCCATATAACTAAGGACAGAGTTGTTCTGATCACAACTTTTAATAAGAGTTAGTACTTTGGGAGGCTGAGGTGGGCAGATTACCTCAGATTACCCAATCTGAGGTAATCTGATTGGGATTGGGAGTTCAAGCCCAGCCTGGGCAACATGGTGAGACCCTGTCTCTGCAAAAAATAGAAAAACTAGCTGGGTGTGGTGGCGCATTCCTGTAAACTCAGCTACTTGGGAGGCTGAGATGGGAGGGTGGCTTGAGCATGGAAGGTCGAGGCTGCAGTGAGGTGTAATTGTGCCATTGCACTTCAGCCTGGGTGACAGAGTGAGACCCTGTCTCAATAAATAAATAAATACATACATAAATAAACAAACAAACAAATGTTAGTGATATTTAGTTCTTTGAAATTGAATTGTACTGCACTGGTTCCCATACTATTTACCACCAAGAACAAGAACAACTTTTATTTTTTTCTATGTGAAAGATTTTCTTTACAAAAACATCACAGTTGCTAAATAATAAAGACTTTATTTATATTTGTATGTAATATAATATTTACGTATTATTTGTTTTTGCCATAGGAAGTAAATAAACACATATAAAGGAACTGCTTAACATTTGCTAAAAACAGCTTTCTACACAGAACTGATATAATCCCTGCTATGAACAGCAATCTTTAGAATAATGTTATAGTTTCTGTTAGGATTTTTGCAATATTGTATATATTGTAAATATAAATATATTGTAAATATTGCACATGAAATAGATATGTATATAGACAACTCTCTCTTTGGAGACCCTAAACTGGGCACATCTGACCGATTAAACACTGCTATTATGTTAAGTACTAAGAAGATAAAATGACATAGACCCTGTGGTAATGGAATTTATAATTCAGTTCATAGGGGAAAAAATAACCCTTTTCCCTCTACCCTTTTAGGTTCACTGGAGCACTGCAAATTAGACTGAAAAAAGACAGATTATCGGGAGAAAAAAATACAAAGAAGCTAATAGGCCGAAGAGCTTATATACCATTTTAAACAAAGAATGATAAACTGTGGAGACTTGACAGGAAAGAAAAAAGGGTTTGAGGCTTTCCAGAGCAGTCCACTATGGGAAGGTAAGCATATGGGGAGCTCTCGTGGAGGCCAGGGGCTGTCTTGGCAAGGTGTGTGTGTTCAGGTCCATCTCAGCGGTAACTTTCTGTCTTCTTCATGGCCTTAACAATTCCCTTGGAGAGGCAATTTATGGCAGTCCTCATTTCCCGGGAATTTCTGATTTTAGTCAGATTTTTTACGAAAGAGAAGCTCTTGGAAGACTTCTTTCTGCATCTGTCGGATCTCAAAATAGTCCCATGCCAAAGTGGCATATTTTGGGGTGGCATATTTACCAATCCCCTTCAGGTTTCATTCCTCCCTTCACCAGAAATTTACCCACTGCTTATCAGCCAAAATTCATTGAGATACAAAGTTGACTGACACGTGGCTTCTGCTCTCAAGGAACTTACAACTTGATCCACAAGGCACTTGCATTTCTGAAAGTAATGCAATTCTCAGGCTGTTATAACTAAATGCTGTAATAAGGTAGTATGTATCTTATGCATTAGAATAATTAGGTTTCCATGGGAACACTGCTATAGCCCCTGGTCAGCCTCCTGTGCTCAGTTCCTCCTGACTCCTGTGACAATAGAGGTAAAGGTGACACAGTATATTCACAGAGTGATCACCATTACTCAGCAGCAACAGGACTAGCATGTGTTATGGACCTGTGGGGAAGGAACTGAGATATGGCAAGAACCAGAATGTTACATACAGGAGGCATGGTTTGTCACAGGCTGTTTTTTAAATGATACAAATTAGTTATGCTGGATTTTCAGGGTGATACGGTTGGCATTAGATGAGGCTGGGTAGGGCTCCACTCGGAACTTGTTACTGGAAAGGGGTCCTGATCCAGACCCCAAGAGAGGGTTCTTGGATCTTGTGCAAGAAAGAAGTCAGGGTGAGTCCATAGAGTAAAATGAAAGCAAGTTTATTAGGAAAGTAAAGGAATAAAAGAATGGCTACTCCACAGGCAGAGCAGCCAGGCTGGTTGCCCATTTTTAAGGTTATTTCTTGATCATATACTAAATAAAGGTTGGAGTATTCATGCCTCCTCCTTTTACCCACATAGGGTAACTTTCTGTCGTTGCCATGGCATTTGTAAGGTGTCATGGTGCTGGTGGGAGTGTAGCAGTGAGGTTGACCAGAGATCACTCTCCTTACCTTCTTGGTTTTGGTGGGTTTTAACTGGCTTCTTTACTGCAATCTGTTTTATCAACAAGGTTTTTATACCTGTATCTTGTGCCAACCTCCTGTCTCATTCTGTGACTTAGAATGCCTTAATCTCTTGGGAATGCTGCCCATCAGGTCTCAGCCTCATTTTACCCAGCCCCTATTCAAGATGGAGTTGCTCTGGTTTGAACACCTCTGACAAACTCACCATAACCTTGTAGGACTTGTTAAAATAACTTAATAAGATGTCATTAGGCTGGGATGATTCTATCGCCCTGCATTCCTATGTAAAGAAATTGAAACTTCAGCTCAGTCCATCACAAGCCAACTGAGTATTATATTACCAGGGACTTTCTGCTGAGATAATCCAAATAAGGCAATATCTGATCTGAACCAACTAAATATTTTCTTTGCCTCACTTTTGCATTCAGCCTATAATAGCTTTTCTCCTGCACTTCTTTGACAGGGCCTTGACCACTTCTGGTTTGGAGCTACCCTGTGTGTGAATTGCTGTCTCCTCAAATAAACTCTTAATATTTTAATATGCCTGTTTGTTTTTTAACAGATCTCACTCTGCACAATTAAACACCAATACCACCAACCTGAGTAGGCCTTCCAGGAAATACTGGGAAAATTAAAAAGCCACACCCACTGAACCATTCTATGGTCACTCAGCATTTGAAGCAAATTATAAAGGTGAAAAAGCTCGATAAGTGGGTGCTTCATGAGCTGACCGAGAGTAAAAAAAAAATTGTCGTTTTGAAGTGTCATCTTCTCTTACTCTATGCAACAACGATGAACCACTTCTTGATTGGATTGTGATGTGCAAGGAAAAGTGGATTTTATGTAACAACTGGTGATGACCAGCTCAGTGGTTGGATCAAGAAGAAGCTCCAAAGCACTTCCCAAAGCCAAACTTGCATCAAAAAAAGGTTATGGTCACTGCTTGGTGGTCTGCTGCCAGTCTGATCCACTACAGCTTTCTGAATCCCTGGGAAACCATTACGGCTGAGAAGTATGCTCAGCAAACCAATGAGATGCACGGAAAACTGCAGTGCCTGCAGCCGGCATTGGTCAACAGGAAGGGCCCAATTCTTCTCCACTGCGATGTCCGACTGCACATCACAACCAACACTTCACAAGTTGAACAAATTGGGCTACGAAGTCTTGCCTCATCTCCCATATTCACCTGACCTCTTGCCAGCCGACTACCACTTCTTCAAGCATCTCGACAACTTTTTGCAGGGAAAATGCTTCCACAACCAGCAGGATGCAGAAAATGCTTTCCGAAAGTTTGTCGAATCCCGAAGCATGGATTTTTATGCTACAGGAGTAAACTTATTTCTCATTGGCAAAAATGTATTGATTGTAAAGTTTTCTTTTTTGATTAAAGATGTGTTTGAGCCTAGTTATAATGATTTAAAGTTCACGGTCCAAAGCTGCAAGTACTTTTTGCACCAGCGAGATGTGCGTATGAGAGGCTTATTTCACCCAGCCTCTTTTCCTGTCATCTGTAGAATTATTTCAAGCACAGGAGGGACCCTACTTCATATTGGGGAGGATTAAGGAAGACTTCCTGGAGGATTGTCTCAGAGCTTGCTGCAGGTGCATATTGAAAAGCAATTCATTACAATTTTCTATAAGAGACTGTGGCTGAACAGTCTGATATACAGGTATGGTCAGAACCTTGTGTAACAATTTCTCCATCACGTGTGTAGAAATCTTAAGGAAAGGAATACTCTCTCTCAGCAAGCTGAGCCCTGTAGCCAGGTACCTTGAGTAGTGTTTCCTGAATCTTTAAAACCCACTGACTTCAAATGGCATGACTTCCAGACTACAGAGGTGGGTATAAAGAGCAACTAAGCCCCCCACACCCTTAAAATCACATCTTGCCAAAATCATGAAGACTTTCAGAGCTTGTGGATTCATTCCTCTTTCCATTGCCACTGCAAAAGCTCATAGGAAATTTTTCTCTGTATGTAAAGAAGGAAATCATGCTCTTGCAGCTGCATCCTGAGTAATCACTTTTGAGATAAAACTATTTTTCTAGCCATAAAGGCTATATTTGAATTTCACCAGCTGCTTTCTTAATGATTACTGGACTATTTTGATAATGGCACCAGCTTCAAGAAAGGTGGTGGTGCTACCTAACCTTTCTTCTTTCTTTGATAAGAAAGATTTTTGCATCAGGGGAGATTACACTTATTTAATGTAATCCAGATGTCTCCTTTCTCAGTGTTCTCCAATTCTGCCAGCCTCATTGATCACTCCAACTATTACTATTCAAATACAAATGGCCTGCATATGTAAAGGGAAACTCAGAATAGTTCACTATTAATTTTTTTCTTTTCTTTTCCTTTTCTTCCTTCCTTCCTTCCCTCCTTCCCTCTTTCCCTCTTTCTCTGTCTTTCTCTCTCTCTCTTTCTCTTTTCTTTCTTTCTTTCTTTCTTTCTGACGGACTCTAGCTCTGCCGCCCGGGCTGGAGTGCAGTGGCACGATCTCAACTCACTTGCAATCTTCGCCTCCCAGGTTCAAGCTATTCTCCTGCCTCAGCCTCAGAGTAGCTGGGACTACAGGCGTGGGCCACCATGCTCAGCTAATTTTGCATTTTTAGCAGAGATGGGGTTTCACCATGTTGGCCAGGATGATCTCCATCTCTTGACCTTGTGATCCACCTGCCTCGGCCTCCCAGAAGCTATTCATTTTCTATGAAAGTTCTCAGGGGCAGGGTGGGGTGGGATGTGGTAACTTTCTCCTAGGTTCTCTGATTTTGGTAAATTCTTAATCTCACTTCTCGGCCTCAGGTGGTTTTCTTTTTTCAAAACTGAAACACAGCTGCTTCTTTTCCATTATCTTCCCTAAGTGCCTTTATAGAAAGCATTTGTGTGTAGTTAAATTTTACAAACGGTTTTTGAAAACAGAGATTGCATTGCTGGAGAGCATAGCAAATTCTTTAAAACTAAATATGGGATATCACCATTGATTTCTAAATGCAGATATCCCCAGCCCTTTTCATCAGTGAGAATTTCTCTTGAGCTCTCTTCTCCTGGGCCTCCAGATTCCATTTTCCTGAACTCTGGTCCTCCTGCCTTCTCTCTTTACCTCCCTATTTCCTCCACCAATTTATGTCCCCACCATCTCAGTCTGCCCTTAGAAACTTATTTTTTTCTTCTTGCATCATTATGCAGAGAAACAAAGTTACTACTGGTTTCCTGGTTTTCCTTCTGAACAATATTTCAGAACCTATTTTATTTTATTTCTTTACAGCCAAATGGCTCTTCAAAGCATTTTGCTAAGGAAAAAACACTTTCCTCTTAAGGAAAATTTTCTTCAACAACTTTTACACTTGATCTTAGCCAAAAAGCTGAGAAGCAATCATCAATAGCCTTTAAAATGAGAATTTGTCATCTCCTTGGTACATTAAAGTCTATATCATATCCAGATTTTAGTAACTAATCAGCATTACTTTTATGGTATTGCGAAAAGAAGGCTATATTTTGAAAATCACTGAGTAAGGAAACATAAGACTCAATATGGTCAGATTTTAAGTTCACGTTCTTTCCATCTTTTTTGGTAATTTCTGCATATTGCTGCTTGAGGAAGAGATCCCTTCCCACAAGCAGCCTCATTGTATTTTTCTTTAAAAGTTTTTTTTTTTTTTTTTTTTTTTTTTTTTTGGGTAGGCATTTATTTCCAGGAAACTGTGGGTTAGCTTGAGACGGATATTAAAATTGAAGTTATAAACCTGAGGTTGCATCTGACATGTGCAAAAAAGTAGGGAGTTTGGGAAGAGGTGAAATGATCACTTACTTGCTACCATCTTTGCTACAGCCAGAAATTAACACTTGGAAGCAAAATCTAGGAACACCATCTGAGACAAAGTTGTTTCTGGCCTGGAATCATAAATATCCATTATTGGTGCCCTGTCCCATCTCAAGACTACAAATCTATTCCTTCAAATCTTACTCGGAAATGAGAGTTGATGAATCTCTGTGGTTTTAATGATGACAGCAATTCCATAAATTATTTAAAAGTGGTTTCATTTTCTACCAGGTCATTTAATCCTCACTCACATCACGTCTCTAAGAGAATGTCCTTCTCTTGTTTGAAAACTTTGCTAAGAAGTTCCCAGTCAGGTCAATTTTGATACAAAGACTTATCATCACAGGAGCCTCTTGCTGGGTTCACTTCCAGCCTTCTGAAATGGGTATGATCTGAACATGCTTTAGGGGGTTGAAGAACAAGGCATGTCAACTCCATTCCTGTGCACCAACCGACTTGTCTGCCTCAGGGTCACCATGTGACTTTGTGTAGTGACATCATCAGACAAAAGTGATGCTTCCAGGTTATGCCTGGGCCTGGACAAGGCCACTAGGGGACTGCCCTAGCCTGACTCTTTGGTCCTAAGGTATCCATCTGTTTAGCATTACATTTCTTATCCAGTTGTTTCCTGGTTTTACCACCTACAGATGTAAAACAGGTGTGTAAAATATGATCCCATCTTAATGTCTGAGACCCCCTCCTCTGCATCAAAGGAACTCAGCACCCCTGAAAGTGTCTCTGGTCATCTCGGCAGGTTTCCCACGAGGGTTTTACAAGTGCTCACAGAGCAGTTGGTCATTTCATGGCCTCTCATGCTCTTCTGTTTCTTAGTTTAATTCCCACATTTCTCATCATCTATGTGTGTCAGCTGTTTTGTAGTAATACATATACAGTGATAAACATTTGCAGAGTAACTACTATGTGCTGGGTATTATTCCATAGGTCATATACATATTATTTAATTTTTATAGCCATCCTATGAGGTAAGAACTGTTACTACTGTCATTTCACGGATAAGGAAACCAAAGTCCAGAGAGGGGCCAACAAGGAAGTGGTAGAACCTCTTGCCTTTAACCATTTTGCTATTTGCATGTTATCATCATGTTGTAGTGTTGACTTAATCTAGAGAGTGAGAACACAGGCCTTGATAGGAGTCACACCCAGGGTCAAACTCCAGCTCAGCCACTTACTCATCAGGTAGCTTTGGCAAGCTGCTTAGCTTCTTTGACCCTCAGTATCCTTATCTGGAAGTGGAGAAAATATTAGTAGTTTCCTCATCAAATTATTTTGGGGATTAAATAGAATAATGCACGTAACAACGTGAAGTGGAGTCCCTGGAGTGTTATAAGCATGCCCATAAATGTTAGCTCTGAATATGAGAGCAGTAATAATCCTCCCTGTAAATCTTTTTACAGATTAGCAAACTGAGGCTTGGAGAAGTGAAAAACTTGCCTAAGATTTAACAGCATCAAAGGAACAGAGGCTGGGTTTGCAACGCAGCTCTGGGACTCCAAAGTCTGCCCTTTCCAGCTACATTTTCTCGCTGACCATGAGCTCAGTTCAGATGCTAAAGACCTGTGGTAGGTGCTATTTGGGATATGGTTTTGATCAAGAGATGCCCTGATCTTGTACACAATTACCTGTAATAAGGGCCATGTGTGAAAAGTTCCACCTGAGTGGACTAAATGACAGGCTGCTGGAGGGCTGAGCAGAGATCAATCATGTGACTGTGAGCGCAGCTCATTTCTGGGTAGTCTCAAACCTTTGGCTGAGTGCCTAAATCTCCATTTCACCTCTTGCTGTGAAACTCTTGTTTTTCTTTAAACCCAAGAGTCCAACTCCACGCGTAATACAATATCATGTAAATGAGGGTAACCTTGGAAGGCAGGCTGCTTGTCATACTATAGTGGCTTTGTTGCTATAATGAAAGCCACATGCTTCATGGTACTTTTAGACTAGTTAATATTAGCAGGTCAGCTGCATTTTTATTTAGCTATTGCTATTCCAGCTGTGCTTTTTCTGGTTATTTCAAGATAATTCAGAATTTCTACCAAGCCATAAGCTTTTTCAGGAGAGTGGAGAACTGGAAGAAAACGGCCAGCACTTTCCCCTCGGCTCTCTGGTTTCCACATGGAATTTGTCATTGTTTTCCTGAGTCATTGTGAAATGAAGACGTGGTTGACCCAGGGGCTTGTTTTCAAAGAGTAGTGGAATAAATAGGAAGGTGGAAAAAATGATGAGAAATGACTTGACTTTGTCCTGGGGCTAAGAGTAGAAAATAGGAAAGAGGGAGGAAAAGGGACATGCCTAACCACCTTGCTGCGTTCTTGAAATTTGCTGGAATGATATGGTCATGATTATGATTATGAGTATGATTGTTTTGAGAAAGAGAGGATCATTTCTTTCCATTCTTGAGTCCTCTTTGGAGTCATCTGAATCTCCAAATTTGCTTCTCAGAGAAAGTTTTATATTTCTTGGGAAAGATCTTAAATTACTTTCTTCCCCAACTAAATTGGGTCCCTCCTCCTCTACTCAACACTAAATATCCAATGTCCCTGTGACTGGAAGAGTCCCTTCTCTCTCTGTAGAAAGAAACTGGGGCAGACAAAGAACTTTGCCTCCCAATCTAGTCATGTCATTAAGAGCACTGATCTCAATCCTTAGGGTAGATCTGTGTGGACCTAGAGACTGATTGACGGGCACTTTCTCCTCTGCCCAGCAGGCTGGAAGAAAAGGGGTATAAGAAAGAAACTTTCAGAGTTCCTCATAACAATCTTAAGGGCAAAGACCTGTCTGCTGAGGATTAGGTTCGTTTGTGCCATACTCACAGAATCAGCAGCTCGGACTCCTCTGTCAGTGGGGGATGGGGCTGATGAGATTTTGCTTTAGCATGTGTGTTGTATAACAAATGTATTGTGCATATATTGAGCCCAATAGCTATGAACAGGAAACTACTTCATTTTCTCTGCCATGACAACCTCGAAAATGTACTCTGCTCAGCCTTCCCTCCCTGTCTGCGTCTGTAGTCTGATCATGTTCAAGCAACAAAAATGAGTCTTTTCTTGAGGATTATGACTCATCTATAAGTACGAAAAGACCCAATAGAGTCTAAATCAAAGCCTCAATCTCTTCACATCTTCTCTGATTTTCACAGCCCAGGCCCGACCCTTGCTGGGGTTCCCAAAATAGGAAAGGAGAGTCTGGTCTCATGGTCCGTTTTTTCACTTGTTCCTGACTCACTTCTCCTCCCTGATTTGCCTTGCTGCTTTTGGTTTCTCCATGGTGGGGGAGTGGGGCAGAAAGGGAAACAGAAGATGGGCAGCCTTTTTAAAGTATCTGGTGCTCTTTGTGGCTCTCTCTTGACTGGCTTTGCCCAGATGCTGGGCCCTTCATTACACTTTTCCATGATGTGTGTTTCTGGATCCTCTGCATTGGGACTTTTCTGATGTACTCGTTACTGATATTGGTGCATGCTCTTCAGCCGACCCCATGCATCCCACTTTCCTCCTTCCACCCCAACTCCTATCTTGGTGGTTGTACTCCAGCTTCTCACT